AGAATAAAGGTTACGCCTTCTTTCTTTGCGTGAACGTTTGGGCGGCGTTATGCAAATCTTCTCACATCGTGACGTAGACATGTGGGGTGTGTTAGAACGAGCCGTTTTAGGTAGGCGTGGCTGACTCTTAACTTTTATAAAAATATCTCATTTGGATTTGAGACTTTAGTCTTTGCAACTTTACAGATCTTCTTTATGCACCAAGAGCTTGTAACACTCCAAAGAGAAAGGAAAAATTGAAATCGCATCATATGACCCCTTTAAGAAATTTATATTTTTGTTCTATATGATTTGTTCTAAATTGATCAATAAAGGCATTTGGAATGTTACAAAATGATTTCTTTTTCATAAATGCTGTTTTTTTTTTACTTTCTATTTATCAAAGAATCCTTAAAAAATGTATCAAGGTATCAATATTTTACAATATTACTGTTTTTATTGTATTTTTGGTCACATACATGCAGCATTTGTGAGTGTAAGAGACTGCTTTCAAAAACATTGTAAAAAAAAAAGACTAATCAATGTTATAATAATGTTTATAAAGTATTATTAAAAATTAAATTAAATGCATTGTTTATTCTATACCTAAACTGGTCAATTTTAGGTATATGTATTGGTATCATTCTCTGGTCTCAGTGTTTTCAACACCAGATTAATCATCTGAAGAATTTTTCAACAATAGCTTACCAAGGCGGATTAAAATACTGCAGATATAATAAGATTGGGCTGAAACGGTGCGGAGGTATGGGCTACAGTATGTGACCTCATTTCATCAGAGCTCAGCAGCTGGTAATAGCTGCTTTAGAGACTCGCGTTGTAAAATCTTTGCCTTTTAATTCCTCGCTGCATTTTAAAACAGCGACATATATGGCTCCCTGTAGTTGCCTGCTCGTTTTCGCACACCCGCTCGACCAGGCCTAGTGTAAGAAAATAAAGGGAACTGAATAAGCACAATCATCAGCTTTGTGAAACAGAGAGAGGAGAATTCGTGCAAGAAGTCATTAACAATGCATCGCAGCAGCCCTGTAGAATACTCATGCTACGGCCTCCTGTAAACCGAGGCAGCATCGCACCAGGTGTCCTCCAGGTATCCTCTTCACAAACAGACAGGCACGGGTCGGGTGTGCTAGCAAAATGAGCCGAGTGCAACATGCAAACTCCTCCGCTCACATGGAGATATTAAGGCATGTGTGGTTTTCTGCTGTACCCCTGGGGTTTAGACCACTTCCCTTCTCACAGTACTTATTGACACAGACACACACTTGCTCGGTTCTTTATATCTCTCTCTCACACACACACACACACACTTTATCTCTCTTCTCGATCAAACGTGCAAAGGATGTGCAAAACTGCACATTTTCTAAATCAGCTTGCATGTGGGTTGCCGGAACAACTAGTCGACCAATGTGTTTCAAGGAAGGCCGATCTGAGTTCACCTGACCCCAATCAGACACACGTTTCAAAGGGACCTTTACGTTAGACACGTTCTTATGTTCAGAAGTGCTTAGATGGAGTGCAACATCGTGAAACAGAAAATGGGTCTTGAGAAAAGTCATTTTGAGACTATTTTTAGCATAAAACACTCACATAAATGCTGCTTTAAAGGCACAAGCGAGAGGGCTTTACCATGAAAACAGTCTACACACTGTCAGCATGTTTAAATAAAGTGTAGACGCTCTAAATACAAAAACTAAAAAACATCTAAAACTAGTCAGTTTTTGCATAACTTATTCCTCTTTCTTAACAGTTTCTTCTGCCGCAAACCCCAAAACCCATAGCTATGGTTTTTAATTCAAGGATGTGCAACCGTTGCTAAATCCAGGGTCAGCTTTTTGTCTTCTTTCAACTCTCAGTGCATTAGCTGTAATGAAGTTGTGCTGAGGGTTAGTACTAATTCAGATGACTGTTACGAGCTCAGGATCTTCACAGTCACGGCATGTCTCTTGATTTCCCAGCCTTTACGGCCGAGTGCGTTCTTTTTAGATGTGTCCTCTGATGTTGGCCTTTTGACCTATCATTTTTTCTTCCTTTCGTTCTCAGTATGGGGAAGAGGAGGTCTGCTCAGACCGCCTGGATGCTGACTTCCCTGACTTTGACCTCTCGCAGCTGGACGCCAGTGATTTTGACTCGGTGAACTGCCTCAGTGAGCTGCATTGGTGCAACGAGCACTCAGATCACTCCCCTGCCTCCATACAGTACAGCGGTGGAGACCCAGAGCTATTCGAGGTGGGAACCATCATCTGTACTTGCTTTATTGTGCACATGTAAAACAATCTTGTGCTGATTAGTGGTATTCGTAATTCTGCCCTCTGATTGGTTGTTTTTAGTTGGACAGGCCTCAGTAGGCCACTGTCCCAAATGATGCACTTGCAGTCTGAAGGCCTTTTTGTGTTTACTACCCAACAAACCTTTCAGAATTTTGCCAAGATTGGACTTGAAGGGCCGTAAGGGCTAAGGGCAAAATTTGGGAAAGGGCATTAATCTTAAAGGGATAGTTCACCCAAAAATGAAAATTCTGTCTTAATTTACATACATACACACACACACACATATATATATATATATATATATATCCCTCTTTTTTATATTTTGTCAATCCAATGAAGGTCCACAGAATCAAAACTTTCAAGCATCAAAAAGTACAAAAAGACATTTTAAAAGTAATCAATATGAATTGAGCACTTTAATCAGAAAAGACTTGGATTAAATATTTAATTTAGGCTTTTATTCACATATAAACATTGATCAAATGTACATACATAGAGCACATCAAATATGGTAAATGGAAGCTCAAACATGCTTGATTTATGCCAGAATAAACATCATTGGTTCTCATGCATCTCACTCAAACAAGCAGGTTTGAGCTTCTGTTTACCATATTTGATGTGATCTATGTGTGTGTGTTGATCAATGTTTTCTATATGTTTATAAAAGCTTTTTACATGTAAAATGTGAAAATGTTTTTGTACGTTTTGATTTGTGAAAGTTTGATTGCATGGACTTTTCATGGCTAGACAATATTAAATTATTAGGAATATTAGAATATATACTTTTGTTTGTGTTTCAAATATGAAAGGTGAGAAAAATTATGACCGAATTTTCATTTTTTTGGTGAACTAAAGTCTAGTTCAGTAAAGCTTTGACTAAATTATAATGGTGTAAGATTAAATCTAAGTGCTAGTTAAAGCCATGGCATAGAGGTAAATGCACATTCTGATGATATGTTGAGCGAGGGTGCTTATGTGAGTGTTGCAGGTTCGAGTCTGGCCTGCAACTGTTTAAATTGAGATTTTCTCCTCTTTTATCAATAACTTCTGTCGTTCTCCACTGTTTCTGTGTTAAAAAAAGACTTACACTAGACATATACAAGCTGTGTAAGTGTAGGTTTTCCTTATCTTTGCTTTGCAGAGCACTTGCCTTCATTTCTTTCTTGTTGTTTCAGGAAGAAAATGCGGCACTGCTCGCTGCCCTCACAGACAGCCTGGACGGCATTGTTGAGGACGGAGTCGGGGGTCTGTCTGTGTTCCCTTCGCTGGGGGACGACCCTGAGGAGGGCGAGGAGGAGGAAGATGACCTCCCTTTGGACAGTGAGCCCCTACTTGGCTCAGTGAGCCCAGAGACAGAAGACCCATCTCTAGTAAGAACCCTTCCTTCCTGTTTAAGGTGGATTTGGATGGGCCTCTGACTACCCCACAGCATGGGTATGATAGGCAACACAGGTCTGAATTTTTCTCATTTTGGGCTTTTTGTTTCTTTTTAAGCAACCGATCTAACAAGAATCCTCTTCACAGGCAGGGATGTGGAACGTGGACACCGTTTTTATGAACTTGAGACTTTTTCTAGGCTTTCATTTTCCCACACATCCCATTACTCTTATCTTTTTCTGAGCCTTACAAGAAAGTACCGTGGCGATACCATGGCATTGTGATAGTTTCTGATGGTAATAACATAGTACTTTGATATATTCCATGGCTGTGTATGAATACAACGGTATTGAAATTGTACACTACCATTCAAAACTGATGGTCAGTAAGATTTTTGCCATCACAGGAATAATTTACATTTTAAAATAGGGATGTAATGATTCACTCAACTCACAATGCGACACGATTCACGATACAACTTTCTCACAATTTTTGTTAAAAAAGATTTAAGACAAATTATTAATGAAAAGGTGTCCTTTTATTATTTCTCAGACAAAATGCTGCACATTCCTTTGTGAAATTGAAATATGTCAAATAACAAAACTAAATTATAATTTTAAAACAATAAATAAACAATACAAATAAAAGAAATCTCGTCGTACAAACAAAGTCTTTGCCTTTGCTCTTTCCATTCAAAATTAGAGACAAGCACTGCATTGTAATCACGATCCAAAGAAAAGATGCTGCATACATGCATCATGAATAATTTTTTATTTAAATTTAATTGTATAATTTCGAAATTTGAAGCAAAAACAGAATGGTCTGCGTTTCCTTGGTTCCACATTTAAATACTACTTTATTATGCATTATACAGAGGCAATATGAAAAGAAAATACCATCTAAACTGTTCTGAGGACAGTCAGTTCCCCTCAGAGATACATTCATATAAGCCCTTATATCACGATTCGTTTAACATCAGAACCGACTTGAAATGTCACATATTTTTATCGATTTTCAACCAGCTCGGGGTGCATTGTTACATCCCTATTTTAAAATGGAAAGCATGTTTTAAATTGTAATAATATTTTGCAATATTAATTTTTACTGTATCAAATAAATGTAGCCTTGGTGAGCCTAAGGGGCCGTTTACACGACAACGTTTTCAGCCCAAAACAGGAAACTTTTTATGCGTTTTGCCTGTTCGTTTACACGACAACGGCGTTTTGGGGACTGAAAACGCATATTTTTCAAAACGGGTTTCAAAGTGCAAGTTTTTTGAAAACGCCACAGTTATCGTTTCTGTGAAAACGGTGACATCATGCGCGTGCGTGCGTAGTACGTGTTAGGTATGTAGACATGCGCAGTACGTGTCGATTTTAAAGGCAAGTGCGAACAATCATACACAACAATGGCGGAGTACATGGTACTGTTGTTGCTGCTCAAGAGTTTGCTAACGCTTCTTCAGCAAAGTGTGGATTTACTTCACCAATATTACAACCAACAGCGGAGACGCATCATATACAACATATAATCGTCACTTCCCTACAGGTACTGTTTACTAACAAGGTGACAGCGCCAACTACTGGCCTGGCATACGTAATACAGCGTTTTTGGCCGTTTTCGCAGATATGTGTAAACGCAAATCGTTTTGAAAACGTTGTCGTGTATACGTGAAACTTTTTAAAAACGCAAGGGAACAACTTTTCCGTTTTTGACTACATCGTTGTCGTGTAAACGTAGCCTAAAGAGACTAATTTAAAAAACAACAGTTAAAAATATCTCACCAACCTTTACCAAACTTTTGAACAGTAGTGTACTTCAAAGAATCCCATGGCATTACCATCATGGTAATGTCCAAAAACCTGGTAATACCATGGTACTTTTTTAAGGGAATGCTTATATCTACTTCCCAGATCTTTGATTCCCTCAGGTCACGAAATGGACTTCAACAGCAGCTCTCTTTGCTCCATTTTTACCTTTTTATGAGAGGACTCAACTCTCATCTCTTTCTTGAGACGCCACTTCCTGGAACAAGTTGGTGTGTTTGTTATCTGTCCCTCTCAGCTCACAAACCCCAACAATTTAATCTGTGTACGTTGTGAAACCAGTTATAACAGTTATTACCCATTGGACAGCTTTTCATTTTTACTTTCTTATTTCCCCCCTTTTTTTCACTGCTTTTTCCTGAACAATTGGTTGTGCATGGCTGTATTGTACTGTAGCGGTTTTTCCAGTTTGTCATGTGCGTTTTGTGATTTTTACCATAGAGACTGGTAGTACTTACGGTAATGACTGTCTTACATTTCACTCAATACCTTTCACAATTCACACTGTTCTAGGATCACATTGTTTGGCGCCGATGAAAGGCCACCATCTGATTACTGAGATAATCATTGCCTTAGAGATACTAAAAAAGGCTAACTTACAGGGTGTAGCAGCAAAGTATATAAGAGATGTCTGAAGGAGGGACAAATTATTCTTAAATTGATGAAAATTATGTGTATTCATCTGAGAATAAGACTACTTTTTTGGTGCCACTAGGACTGAAAATACCAGTAATACAACCTGTTAAAAGTTAGTAGCTTTTCCATGAAAACTATCATTTACATTCATGCAACATGGAAAAATGTTCTAAACATAAAATTACACAGAAGTGAAAATTTAGAAAAGCAATAATTTGCAATAAGGTGCAATACATTAACATTAGCGAATTAGTTATCATGAACCGACGCTGAACAATTTTTAATTGGCTTATAAATATACTATCGTTCATTATTAGTTAATATTTGTTCAATACATTAATATTAATTTATACAACTTTTTTTTTTTTATGTATTATTTATACACGTCTGTTCAAAGATTTCTGAAGGATCACGTGACACTGAAGAGTAATAAAGCTTTGCCATGACAGGAATTAATTACATTTTAAAATGTTATTTATTAAAATAAAACACTGAAATTGCAATAATATTGCACAATATTATTGCTTTTACTGCATTTTGTAAACAAATAAATATAGCCTTGGTGAGCACAATGTGTTAATATGAAATATTAACACATTAAAAATATCTTACCGATCACAGACTTTTGAATGGTAGTTTATATAAAAAAAAAACATTAACATTCTTCAAGAATAATCAATTCTATAAGAGCATTGCTATAGCTATTTCATGTTAACTATTTCAGTAACTAATGTTTTTTTTAAAAATTTGAACTTTATTATAAAGTTACAAAACATGGTTAATAAAGTTACTGTCAGTTATTTAGTCTTTTTGCAATCTTCCCTGAAAGTTACAAGTCTAGACAGATGCATTTCCCTGTTAGATGATTCAGTAACAATGGAATTGTTCCAGTGTAATTTAGCTTCCTCCTTGAGTCTCAATGCAAAAGTTTAGTCCGGGTGTAAGAGCTGAGAGCCCCCTCTGCTGGCGATGGCCGCAGTTACACCTCAACCCCTAAATGAGGCCAGTCTGTGTGCAAAACAAGGGGTGCATTGAAGACCCAGGAGCAGGGACAGCAGAGCACATGTTTTCATGGCATAGATGGCCAGTGCATGCCAAAACGGTTTGGTACTCAGAAGCTGAAACCCTCAGCGCCCCTTCGGTTTCCTCAATGGACACTGAGAGACATGGACAGACCTGCCAAGTTGGCACATTAACAATCGCTTAAGGGACTCAGCAACGCTGCGCTGCTTCTTACTTTGCTTTCTCTGGTTGCGCTGGTCATTTAGGACTTGCATTTCAGATTTTCCAGTAACTTGAACATCTTGTTCTTACAGTGGCTACAGCACAGAACTGCTTGAAACTTGTTTTTGTTGATGTATTTGAGTGCGAAAAGGCAAACCTTTCTTGATTTTGTCTGCAATTTTAAATGCACCGTGTGTCATCAAATTATAACCCCTCGCCTCTCATTCCCTCCACAGCTTAAAAAGCTCCTGTTGTCGCCCCCTAATGTGCCTGCGGGCCTCGATTCGCACAAAGACGTGCATCGCCATAGCAGCAGGAGCCAGCACGTCAAACCCGTGAGGCCCGTGCTAAAGGTGAGAGGAAGTTCCAGCCGCTGTGACTGCGGTTTAAACTCAAAACATGTGACGCAAGAAGGCAAAGGAGACACGCCGTAATAGGAAATGGATTTAACTACCTGCTATTCACTGCCCGTTTACGCTGCAGCATATTCCCACCGCAATGCTAATGCCTAATTAGCTTATGCCAGCCTTCAGAAACCACACTGAGGATTTGTGCTTCAAAGTTTCAAAGCCTGTGAAAACTGTGGTTCCTCATTCACTGGCTCCGCTTTGGCACGCCGCACCTCGGCTAAGGCCGCTGTCACATTAGAGTTGAGTGCAGCCATCTGTCATAGCAAAGCCACAGCCTCTGCCCAGCCTAAAGGGCAATGTTCACTGGGTTTGAGATTACTTAAAAGAACAAGCAGTAGTTCTTCAGATACCAAGAGAATATCTTGCAACTAACCTTGGCACATTTGTCACAGTAACCTTAGAGCGAAGTACACTCTGAAATAGACTCTAGGGGTTCAGCTGCCCCGCGTACCTCGCGTGTTTGCTCGCTACATACCGCTGACGAATGCCATGAGCAAATGCTTAATGTTATAACCGTTTCAAAGGGGCTATTTTTCATTTTTATTACTTCTGTCATTATAGTGCTAAAACAGTTTTGGCACATACAGTTTATTTTTATTTCATTTAATTTTTTAGAAATGTATTTTTATTTTATTTTATTTTAATAATTGAGTGTGTAATATATACTAGTATAATAATGCTAGAATACTAAAAATAAATATAAAAAATATAAACAGTGGGAAATTATGTATGCATGTGTAATTTATAAAAAAAAAATATATTTTTTATCTTATGTCCTCGACAATTATGTGATCAAATAAAAACAGTAATATTCTAAAATATTAGTTTAACTTAAAATATCAGTTTTTGTTTTCATATATTTTTAAATGTCATTTATTTCTGTGATGCAAAGCTGAATTTTCAGCATCATTACTCCAGTCTTCAGTGATCCTTCAGAAATCATTCCAATACGTTGCTCAAGAAACTGATAGCGCTGCTGTCAAATGATTAATCGCGATTAATCGCATCCAAAATAAAAGTTTTTGTTTACATAATACAGTATATGTGTGTATACTGTGTATATTTATTATGTATATATAAATACACACACATGCATGTATTTGAGAAAAATATGTTACGTTTATATATTAAATATATTTATATATAATATAAATTAGATGAATATAAATATATACGTGTAAATTCATGTAAATATTTTCAAAATATATACTGTATGTCTGTGTATTTATTTATATATACATAATAAATATACACAGTACACACACATATATTATGTAAACAAAAAACTTTTAT